TAGCCCTTCACCCAAGCATGCTACTGGCCAAATATCATCTCCCTGGGCATTTTGGTTATTGAGAAGAAGATGTTTAAAGTTTTTGACATATTTGACCCCTGTGACCTTGAAAATAGGTGAAGGTCATTAATTTTAACAAACTTTGTAGCCCTTCATCCAAGTTTGCTTCTGGCCAAATATCGACACCCTAGGCCTTTCGGTTATTAAGAAGAAGTCGTTTAAAGTAAAATATTGACGCCGGACGCCGGACGGACGGACGGATGGACGGACGGACGACGGACGACGGACGCCGCGCCACGGCATACTTCGTGCCAGGTGAGCTAATAAAAACTCTGTGAGTAGGGAGGTTGTTACATGTAGGACTATAGACTTACAATGGTGCTGTACAAAATGTATACCCTGCAAATTGTGACAGAATCAAGACCACAAAAGGTACACCATGTGAAATCGAAGAGCTTACGGAGGTGTGATTCGATCTTCTGTAAAATTTCTCATATGTGCCATCAGGCACAAGTGGTGTCAATAAACCCAGATACAAGCAGTGCCGACAACAGCAGCTAGACAGTTTCGGGCTAGGGTCAAGTCAGGTGATATTTATATATATATCAGGTTGTGGAGCTGAAGCACATCTTCCGTGAAGAGTGCACATACTAATTAAGATACCCCCGGGGTCACGCAAGAGAGGGGGGGTGATGAGAGACAAAATAGGCAGGATGCAATGAACACGACGTCGGAACGGTAACAAGGTAGAGGACGGATACGAACAGCAAGAGTTATTTGTGCAGTTTCGGGAAAGTGTATAAGGAATAACTGGGGACTGAAGATACAAACAGGGAAGATGGGCTGTACACCAATTCTGAAAGTAGAACACCTTCCAGAGAAACATAGTGGGACGGAGATGGAGGTGATCCAGGATATACACCAGAATTAGCACAGCCTCCATGCATGTACCCGAGGACAAAGAGGAGCACAGCAGAGCGGAAGATTAAAATGTAGCCCACAACAGGCAGTAGGGAGGACAACGACGCGAGAAGCTGAAGCGACAACTGAACAAATAGGCTCACTGAATGGAAGCATTAGGACGAGAATGTGGATAACACATTCTACATGGAGAAACCCGCCTTATGACATGACCGCCTTGCGTCAAAACCACCTTGATTTATATGGGTAATTTATCGATTGCATTTCTGTACAAACAGTGCACTTTTCTCTCATTCCAGTGCAAGTGTGATACTACAGTCCAGTCCAGGAAAGGAGGGTTAACATGTTTTATTTTACCTCCCATTTCATGTGTATGATGGCACATTTAAACAACAATAACGTGACGTAACAAAAATTGAGAACATTCTAACACTGGATTAAGAAATAGCTGACTTGATGAACTTCAAAATTGAAATCGTGTATCAGTTGTATAAGTTTGAAACATGTTAATAACTTTCCGCTCAAGTTTGTCCAAAAAGTTTAGGGGGAAAAGCGATATTATAAATTGGTAACCAGTCAAAACACCATTTTTATGATTTATGAGCTAGTATTCTAGTGATTGGAATTAGAGAAAAATACTCTTTGATGTCAAGTAGCGAATGATAGGGAAATTCTACCCAAGGGTTTTCCAATTTGTTAAAATCCCAGTCTTGATGAGCTTTTGTCACAGTTAGACTATATTTTCAACATCTTGTTTGCCGATCATGACATTTCTAAATCAATCCTATGCGTTTCAAAAATACAGTATTCACAGATGATTTACAATTTGGTCCACCAACATCTTTTGACCTTGAATTACCCGAAAAACATTAATTTCGTATGGTTTTTCCAAACATGGTCTTTTATTGTGATAGTAAAATCGAACATTGAAGACTTACGTCAAAGTCCGTATGTTTTTCCTTATATATAACTACTGATATTTTATTTATGAATCAAACTTTTATAAGTAAATTGCTTGCTGTTTAGAACTACAATAAAAGTCTGATCGTTTGGAACTTTTGAAAGTTAAAACCGATAAATTGAAGTTAAGCAATTACTTGCACGAGAACATTAAATGTCCCGGGTCATTTTAACACCTAAACATGCAAACAACACTGTCTAAAAGCAGGAAAAATGTTTTTTTAATAACATTAAATTCATTGTTTATAGATTTCAATTTTCCTTGCCTTGTGTTCCATCACTTAACAGTCATGCAGTTTATACAGGGTCTTAAAGACATTCAAAGTTCAACATTTGTGAGTCGAAGTCTGAATGTTTAAATTTTTCCCGATGGTCCGGCAATGACTGAAACACCCCAAAACATTGATTACATGTCTATCACTCAGTGGTCCTTCTACTAGCCATGCCGATACATTAGTTTACTTGGTATGTATAGGAGTTCATCACTATGTCACATCTTCTATAGATGAGTTTTCTACCCTAATTTAGCCTTCATTCCTTTACATGTAGCTAAATAGCTCTTAATAGCACTTCAATGATTTTTATCTCTGGCACATTCTTAATTATTATGACAAACAAATTGAATATATTTACCGTTATAGACAAAAACAAGAGGCCCAGAGGGCCTGTATCGCTCACCTGGATACCTAAGCAATCATGGCAAAATATTCTCCAAATGAGATCAAGGGAATATGACAGACCCCAAGGCCAATCCTTGTAACATAGCTATATTATATTTTTCATGCCCAGCAATTTTATGTATGGTTATGGGGTGGGGATCTCAACTGTTTCCAAGCTTTGGCTCAGTAACTAGGTCCCTAGAGTTGTGGCCAGACCCCAGGATCGATTCTAATATCGTGACTGCATTTGTCTCTTTTTGCCCAGCATTTGTATATATAGTTTTGGGGTGGGGATCTCAACCGTTTCAAAGTTATGACCCAGGGGCCAAGTCTGCAAGGGTGGGGCAGACCCCAAGGTCTATTCTGATATCATGATTGCATTCGTCTCTTTATGCCCAGCATTTGTATATATAGTTTTGGGGTGGGGATCTCAACTGTTTTCAAGTTATGGCCCAGGGACTATGTCTCCAAGGGTGGGGCCAGACCCTAGGGACATCCTGGAAGCAAATGTGCATTCTTCTCTTTATACTCAGCATTTGTATATATGGTTATATGGTGGGGATCTCAACCATTTCCAAGTAATACATTTTATTGGCCCCACCCCATAGCCCGTGGGGTCAGCCCCACCATTTGTACAATTTTGAATCCCTGTCTCCCATGAATGCTTCCGACCAAATATGATCAATATAAATGGCATAGTTCTGCAGAAGAAGTTGCTTAAAGCAGTATAGCCAAATACCCTTTTTGTCCCTGCCCCTCAGCCCCCTGGGGGGTCAGTCACACCATTTGTACAATTTCAAATCCCTGCCTCCCAGGAATGCTTTTGATCAAATATGATTGATATCCAGTGCACAGTTCTTCAGAAGAAATCGTTTGAAGCAATATAGCCAAATTGCCCCCTTTTGGCCCCGCCCCTAAGCCCCCTGGGGAGTCAGCCTCACCATTTGTACAATTTTTAATCACCACCACCTAGGGATGCTTCCAGTCAAAAATGGTTGATATCCACTTCTTGGTTTCAGAGAAGTCGCTTAAAGCAATATAACCAAATTGCCCCCTTTTGGCCCTGCCCCTCAGCCCCCTGGGGGGTCAGCCCAACCATTTGTACAATTTTGAATCTCCACCACCTAGGGATGCTTCCAGTCAAATAAGGTTGATATCCATCACTTAGTTCCAGAGAAGAAGTCGCTTAAAGCAGTATAGCCAAATAACCTTTTTGACCCTGCCCCTCAGCCCCATGAGGGGTCAGCCACACCATTTGTACAATTTTAAATCCCTGCCTCCCAGGAATGCTTTTGATCAAATATGATTGATATCCAGTGCACAGTTCTTCAGAAGAAGTCGTTTGAAGCAATATAGCCAAATTGCCCCCTTTTGGCCCCGCCCCTAAGCCCCCTGGGGAGTCAGCCTCACCATTTGTACAATTTTTAATCACCACCACCTAGGGATGCTTCCAGTCAAAAATGGTTGATATCCACTTCTTGGTTCCAGAGAAGAAGTCGCTTAAAGCAATATGGCCAAATTGACCCCTTTTGGCCCCGCCCCTCAGCCCCCTGGGAGGTCAGCCCAACCATTTGTACAATTTTGAATCTCCACCACCTAGGGATGCTTCCAGTCAAATAAGGTTGATATTCATCACTTAGTTCCAGAGAAGAAGTCGCTTAAAGCAGTATAGCCAAATACCCTTTTTGGCCCTGCCCCTCAGCCCCCTGGGGGGTCAGCCACACCATTTGTACAATTTAAAATCCCTGCCTCCCAGGAATGCTTTTGATCAAATATGATTGATATCCAGTGCACAGTTCTTCAGAAGAAGTCTTTTGAAGCAATCTGGCCAAATTGCCCCCTTTTGGCCCCGCCCCTAAGCCCCCTGGGGAGTTAGGCTCACCATTTGTACAATTTTTAATCACCACCACCTAGGGATGCTTCCAGTCAAAAATGGTTGATATCCACTTCTTGGTTCCAGAGAAGAAGTCGCTTAAAGCAATATGGCCAAATTGACCCCTTTTGGCCCCGCCCCTCAGCCCCCTGGGAGGTCAGCCCCACCATTTGTACAATTTTGAATCCCCACCACCTAGGGATGCTTCCAGTCAAATTTAGTTTAATTCTAACAAGTGGTTAAGAAGAAGAAGTCGTTTAAAGAAATTGTTGACGTACGGACGACGGACGCCACGGTATGGCATAAGCTCACCTTTGGTCCTTCGGACCAGGTGAGCTAAAAACAGAAATTTTCAAATATATGTATGTTTTGCTAGGTTTTTCATCCCCAAAGTCATGTCATGACAGCCACATCAACAAACAACAGTTTAAATGGTCTATTTCTTTGACCTTTAAAGTTTGCACTCTAGAACTTCATTATCTTTAATTATAATATGCACTTGATTATGTAATACTTATCTCAATATTTTTTTAATGAATTTCTACTTTTACCTGGTCATTTTGTTTAGCAGACAGTTATACCATTAACCCTTTCACCCCTTGGTGACTTTAGTAGACTCTACCATTGCTTTATCTGGATGAGTCCATTGTGGTCCTCAGTGGTGAAAGTGTTAAGAAGGTAGAGTGAAGACGAAATTCTGTGCAAACAAACGGACATAACAAAACAATGCATCATTTTCACAAAATTTGAGGAGAAAACCTCCAAAAATTTTCATTTTTCAAATAGAATTGGGAAAATAGTTGAAAATTCCATCAATATTTAAAATTATTTAATGAAACTTAAAACAACAGAAACTAGCTCATTTAGCGCTTGAAGTATAAATTTCTGTAGTCTTTGTTATGGGAACCTATTCAATGGCTAGCAATACCTAAAAATCTATGAGATGTTACATCAACAATTTATCTGTTGGGTATAAATCAAACTTCTGTGTATATAATTGAAGTCCAACAGAGGAAATAATAGCTACGGTGTATATCACAGCTGAAAGAGATCACAACAGTTCACAATTTTTTTATACACTAACAACGACAGTCAATGGCACTGCTTCCTGTGTCTTTAATCTAATCTCCTGGCAAAGACAGAGATGTCCATGGTGCTTGAGATCATAAATCACATTTCAACAATCCCTTTCTGTCCAAAGAAAAAAACCCACTGTAACAATCAGATGTCTCAGTTATCACGCTCTAGCACATCGGGAATGTTCTGATAAAAGGTGATGATTATATCTTCAGTTTGTTTTGTGAGATTTGTTAAAATGTTTTCAGATTAAGGCAATTCGGCATGGCTGACATTGGAATTTCTTTGATCCTCTTTTCTCAAATATGACATCATATTCATAGCTGATGTGATACCATTGAAATGCCACCACATACATTATGCCAGAACGATATCTCCGGGATCCTAGATTGGTGTCGTTTGGAGCATCCGTAGCCTACATCATCCCCTTGGTATGGGAAAGATTATGTCTCTACCAGAATTGCGTTCCCAAGTCTTTGTTCTGGAGCCTCATTTTGTCCCCAGGTTTCTGTCTTTCAATGCAGGTAACTAATTCATAAGTCACTGTATCTCAGCTGAAGAACTGTTAACTATTGTTTATATTTAACAGTCAATCCCTACAACTTCTACCCAACACATTTGCCAAGTTCTTTGCATTTAGCACCAGTGACAGGAAAGTGCTGAGCACTTTTGATGATAGTGAAAATCTTGACTTAGATGAAATCCTAGGCATTGATCACTGTGCCAGACAGTAATCAAATGTTAAGTCCTAGCACTTTATAGATGTTTGTCAATGTGTCATTCACGATAAAAAACTTGACCATTGGTCACTGTGCTTGAACAAGGTTATTTTTTAGTGCTTTGATAACATTATAGTCATGGACAAATATCATCTACATTTGTACACACTTAACCAGTGGTCACTTGATCAAAGTCTAGCACTTAAGACGTGAGCAAATTCCTCAATAAATATGAAAACCATGCCATTGATCACTGTATCTGAGCCACAGTGAAGTGTTTAGCACTACTGATATCGAGGAAGAACGGCCCGTCCTGATTGGGCAGAAAGGTACATGGCATTATGTTGTAAACGCCCCCTGATATTTTCTCTAACTGTAGTACACAGTAGCCAGGACGGAAATCTCCAGACGTTGTCTTGGTGAATGTCCCTGGAGCTCCGGGAACATTCTCACTGACTGCTCGCACCTCAAATCCAACACTGTACTGCCTGCAAAATCATAGGTATTTATTTCAAAAAGGATTGAGAATACAAGTTTTAATGATAAATACATTATTTTGAATACTGAAAGACCAGTTATAGTCATCTAATATGCAAACTTTCATAAATTGTAGTTTTTTTTCTATTGAGGGAACACTTATCCAGTAAAAATCCAGTAGTTTAATACTGCCTTTTACAAAATATCTATTGCAAAGGCAGAATTGTCTCCCCTTAAACAGACATAATGGAGCATTTCCGTTCCTTCATGTGAGATAATGTAGCTAGCTTGTTTTTGCACAGGTAACAACCAAGAAATAGTTTGACTTCATTATGAATTTACTGCCAATCCAAATCAACCCTTTTACTACTAGTCTGATATATAATACAGGATTTAGAGACATCTGTCCCCGTTGCCTTATCTAATGGACAAATTATTTTGCTACTGATTGGTACGTCTAGGCCAAAAAAAATGATGATTCAGTTTATGACTTATATATATAAGTGTAACAGAGGTTATTTGTTTTCAATGCCTCAGCTAAGAGCCAACCACTACTGTAATGATTTCAGTTCATATAATTAAAGAAATTTCTTCTAGTTGGCATTAGTAGGCATATGGTCATGACAAATCATATGAAGCACAATTGTGATTCATGTTGAAGTTGCCATTTCCAGTTGGCATATTCATATTGATCAAAAAAGCAAATGAAAGCAGTTCTAAATAATAATTGTATGCAAGATAAACTAATTTCAAAATTGATAAATGTTTATATTAAACTGCATTCAGCTGGCATTCATAGGCAATATGAATGCCAACTGAAAGCAGTTCAATGCTTATATCACTGTTACTGATATCACGAGAGTCTGAGCTACTGTTGATGCATTGTCTATGAAACAGAGACACACACAAACAGTTGGATGTATTGTCTAGGAAACAGACACACATACAAACAGTTGGATGTATTGTCTATGAAACAGACACACAGTTGGATGCATTGTCTATGAAACAGACACACACACAAACAGTTGGATGTATTGTCTATGAAACAGACACACATACAAACAGTTGGATGTATTGTCTATGAAACAGACACACATACAAACAGTTGGATGTATTGTCTATGAAACAGACACACATACAAACAGTTGGATGTATTGTCTATGAAACAGACACACATACAAACAGTTGGATGTATTGTCTATGAAACAGACACACATACAAACAGTTGGATGTATTGTCTATGAAACAGACACACATACAAACAGTTGGATGTATTGTCTATGAAACAGACACACATACAAACAGTTGGATGTATTGTCTATGAAACAGACACACATACAAACAGTTGGATGTATTGTCTATGAAACAGACACACATACAAACAGTTGGATGTATTGTCTATGAAACAGACACACATACAAACAGTTGGATGTATTGTCTATGAAACAGACACACATACAAACAGTTGGATGTATTGTCTATGAAACAGACACACATACAAACAGTTGGATGTATTGTCTATGAAACAGACACACATACAAACAGTTGGATGTATTGTCTATGAAACAGACACACATACAAACAGTTGGATGTATTGTCTATGAAACAGACACACATACAAACAGTTGGATGTATTGTCTATGAAACAGACACACATACAAACAGTTGGATGTATTGTCTATGAAACAGACACACATACAAACAGTTGGATGTATTGTCTATGAAACAGACACACATACAAACAGTTGGATGTATTGTCTATGAAACAGACACACATACAAACAGTTGGATGTATTGTCTATGAAACAGACACACATACAAACAGTTGGATGTATTGTCTATGAAACAGACACACATACAAACAGTTGGATGTATTGTCTATGAAACAGACACACATACAAACAGTTGGATGTATTGTCTATGAAACAGACACACATACAAACAGTTGGATGTATTGTCTATGAAACAGACACACATACAAACAGTTGGATGTATTGTCTATGAAACAGACACACATACAAACAGTTGGATGTATTGTCTATGAAACAGACACACATACAAACAGTTGGATGTATTGTCTATGAAACAGACACACATACAAACAGTTGGATGTATTGTCTATGAAACAGACACACATACAAACAGTTGGATGTATTGTCTATGAAACAGACACACATACAAACAGTTGGATGTATTGTCTATGAAACAGACACACATACAAACAGTTGGATGTATTGTCTATGAAACAGACACACATACAAACAGTTGGATGCATTGTCTATGAAACAGACACACATACAAACAGTTGGATGCATTGTCTATGAAACAGACACGCATACAAACAGTTGGATGTATTGTCACAATAACACTCAAACTCTTCAGGCTTACTTTGGCCCCAGGAGTTCAATCATGAGGTAGTTGTCTGTCGTGCTGTTGTCCAACTGTACTTGGTGTATAGGGTTGAGGTTATGAGTATCAGTATAGTTACTGCAGCCTCCAGCAGATCTGCCCTTCCACTGGCCATTTATCTGAAAAACATCAATTTAGTAACTTAGCTATACAGATTATATTATGACTTTGTATTAATGAATTAAGGCTATCTCCCTTTGTAATACTGATTGATTTAAGACAAAGTTACTTCCCTTTATGATAACGATTGATTTAAGACAAAGTTACCTCCCTTTGTGATAACGATTGATTTAAGACAAAATTACCTCCCTTTGTGATAACGATTGATTTAAGACAAAGCTATCTCCTTTGTGATAACGATTGATTTAAGACAAAGTTACCTCCCTTTGTGATAAAGATTGATTTAAGACAAAATTACCTCCCTTTGTGATAATAAACTGAAATATTAGATTCAAAATCAATGACTGTACAAGCACAAGAACAGTACATAGTTTTTTTTTATTGTTGTTTGATTAAGTTAATTAAATTAGACAATACAAGAAAAATCATATCAATATCTTCACCTTCATCATCGTCACTATTAAGACATACTTGCTCATCCATCAAATCAGATATCATTTTGTCAGGGATTGATTCATTATCCTTGCTCTGGTCACTATATGGACACACTTACCCGTTTGTCAAACTGTTTTTGGTAGGGGTCAATTATCTTTGTCATAGTCACTATGTAGACACTTACCCTTTTGTCAAACTGTTTTTGGTAGGGGTCCAGTATCTTCGTCATGGTGAACTCACAGGAAGAATAGGCACGCAATGAGTAGTGGATGGTGTTGTTTTTCTCGTACTGTGACACTACCAGGGTATAACTGGTACTGCCTTTCTCCTCCACCATCTTACACAGGTAGTGTGGTGTGTTGATCCTCACTCCATCCTTATACGGAGGTGGTGAATCTAGACACAAAGTAAATGTTATCTTCCTATCACAGGTAGTGTGGTGTGTTGATCCTCGCCCCATCCTTATATGGAGGTGGTGAATCTAGACACAAAGTAAATGTTATCTTACTATCACAGGTAGTGTGGTGTGTTGATCCTCACTCCAACTTATATGGAGGTGGCGAATCTAGACACAAAGTACATGTTATCTTACTATCACAGGTAGTGTGGTGTGTTGATCCTCACCCCATCCTTATATGGAGGTGGTGAATCTAGACACAAAGTAAATGTTATCTTACTATCACAGGTAATGTTGTGTGTTGATCCTCACTCCATCCTTATATGGAGGTGGCGAATCTAGACACAAAGTAAATGTTATCTTACTTTCACAGATAGTGTGGTGTGTTGATCCTCACCCCATCCTTATACGGAGGTGGCGAATCTAGACACAAAGTAAATGTTATGTTACTATCACAGGTAGTGTGGTGTGTTGATCCTCACTCCATCCTTATATGGGGGTGGTGAATCTAGACACAAAGTAAATGTTATCTTACCTTCACAGATAGTGTGGTGTGTTGATCCTCACCCCATCCTTATATGGAGGTGGCAGATCTAGACACAAAGTAAATGTTATCTTGCTATCACAGGTAGTGTGGCGTGTTGATCCTCACTCCATCCTTATATGGAGGTTGCGAATCTAAGACACAAAGTAAATGTTATCTTACTATCACAGGTAGTGTGGTGTGTTGATCCTCACCCCATCCTTATATGGAGGTGGCAAATCTAGACACAAAGTAAATGTTATCTTGCTATCACAGGTAGTGTGGTGTGTTGATCCTCACTCCATCCTTATATGGGGGTGGTGAATCTAGACACAAAGTAAATGTTATCTTACTATCACAGGGAGTGTGGTGTGTTGATCCTCACCCCATCCTTATACGGAGGTGGCGAATCTAGACACAAAGTTAATGTTATCTTGCTATCACAGGTAGTGTGGTGTGTTGATCCTCACCCCATCCTTATATGGAGTTGGCAAATCTAGACACAAAGTAAATGTTATCTTGCTATCACAGGTAGTGTGGTGTGTTGATCCTCACCCCATCCTTATACGGAGGTGGCGAATCTAGACACAAAGTACATGTTATCTTACTATCACAGATGTAGTAGCTTGATAACGCTCAACAATACAGAGAAGTGACAGTCACAAAACAATAGTAAGCCTGCCTGAGGGAGTATGAATGTTTTAGGGTCACTTAAATCATTATATAATTTGTAGAAGAAAACAGAAAAAAGCAACCAGCAGACCAGAATTCGAACCCAGGATCTTCAAACTCTAGACGGATGCTCTAACCAACTGAGTTATCTGGTCATCGCTGATCGACCCAGTCCAGTTCTTCTACATTCCTTCCTCATTCAACAAATTATTCGACTCCAAAGACAGATGACACCCTATATCGCCTTCTGTGGGTGTGTTAAGCTGGGCGCTAAATGTAACAGGAAAAGGAACAAGAGGCCTAATGGGCCTGCATCGCTCACCTGTTATTAATCTAACACTTGTAATCTTAAGATTTCATAAGAACCTATTAAAAGATTTAAACATATGACGCCTCTGACCTTGATTGTTGAACAAGGACATTAGGTTGAAAGTGGATCAAGGTCATTCATTTGAACTAACATGGTAGTCCTTCATCCCAGCATGCTACAGGCCCAATTTCAGTACCCTGG